ATATATATATATATATATATATATATATATATTAACTTTTTAAAATAATGAAATTATATATTTAAAATATAATTATAATTAAAAAACTATTTTGAATAGTTTTTGATAAAATGAATATTTATATACTTGTATTTAATTAAAAAAGATATGAGTAAAATATCATACAAAATTTGAAAACTATTGAACTTACAAAACAAATAAAAAATAGGTTTAATACCTTATTTTGTCCCTAGTTTCGTTCGAAAATGTCAAATTAGTCCATCTTTTTAAACATGCGTCACTTACGTCCTCACTTAATAAAATTTGCATCAATGAAATCCCTTCTGTTAAATCCGTACAAACGGCGTTAATTATTTTTCTCTCTCTTCTACTTTTTCTGCTTTTTCTGCTTTTTCTGCTTTTTCTGTGCAACGCACCAGCTTTTTTTCTCTCTTCTGCTATTCTTCTTCTCTCTCTTCTACCAAATTATTACAACCTTTAAAGTCACACTTTTTCTCATTCAGTAGCCATCACAACTTCTTCTTCTCATAACCCTCTGCAAGAAGGAAGATTCATATTGAGAACACTGTTATCTTTGTCTTCCTTCATCTTCTTCTTTATGCAAATCAAGGGTTATTTATTTATTCTTCATCTGATGGTTCTGACATACAAGTCAAGCAGTTCAAACAATTGATGCAATCATTGGTATTCAAACATATTGAGAACACTGTTATTTATTTATTTATTCTTCATCAAATGTTATTGCTATGTCAATTGCACCAAGGGACTCTCATGAAGCACAAGTTCAATTTGCTTTGGAAAGAGGTGTTCCAACAATCATTGATGTTCTTGGAACAATAATGCTTTCCTTCCCGTCCGGAGCTTTTGATATGGCACATTGTTCTCGCTGCTTGATTCAATGGGGTTCAAATGGTGAGTGTAACTATGACATTTCTACTCTTAAACAATTAAAATATATCTTTTAGATCAATAAAAAAGTTTCTTGGTGTCTCTTGCGTTGATGATTTCGTAAGTTATTATGTCCTTTATGGATGACAAACAATTTTTTATGATATATGCATATATACCAATAATGAAGCCTGATTCAGTTTTGTATTGATTGTAAATTAACAACTTAGAAGGTTGGCTTGTCAAGTGCTTTGATTTATTCTCCCGTGCTTAGACAACCTAAATTTATTTTGAGTACTTAAACTATGGCCCTGCTATTTCTTGTTAAGATGATGCTCAAAGTCCCATTTTTCTTATATCAGATCAATCTGTTTTTTAATTCACTTCGGTTCTTGGTTTATTATTAACTGTTTGATGTTGGGCTAACAAAATTATTACCTTGGCTTTTTGGTAGTAAGAAATATTTTTAAACTATATTTAATGGAGTTTTTTTCTTAGATGGAATATACATGAAGGAAGTGGACCGGGTTCTTAGACCTGGTGGTTACTGGGTATTGTCTGGTCCTCCTATCAACTGGAAAATGCAGTTTCGTGCGTGGCAGCGTCCTGAATATGAGCTTGAGGAGGTACAACGGAGGAAGATTGAGGAAATTGCTAAACTTCTATGCTGGGAAAAGAAATATGAAAAAGGTGAAACTGTGATCTGGAGAAAACAATTGCAAAGTAGTGATTGCACTGAAAGAGAAACTCAAACAATTCTTATAATTGGTAGAAGAGAGAGAAGAAGAATAGTAGAAGAGAGAAAAAAAGCTGCTGCATTGCACAGAAAAAGCAGAAAAAGTAGAAGAGAGAGAAAAATAATTAACGCCGTTTGTACGAATTTAACGGAAAGCACAGAAAAAGCAGAAAAAGTAGAAGAGAGAGAAAAATAATTAACGCCGTTTGTACGGATTTAACGGAAGGGATTTCATTGATGCAAATTTTATTAAGTGAGGACGTAATTGATGCATTTTTTAAAGAATGGACTAATTTGACATTTTCGAACGAAACTGGGGACACAATAGGGTATTAAACCTAAAAAATAATTAAAAATGAATTAATTTAGTTTGGGAGGCTAATCCTATCCTATCGAACCCATTTTATGTGAGGCTTTAAAGATTATGGTTTTTAAAAAGTCTCCTATTAAGTGAGTTAAAAAAATGAGATTTGATTTTAGAAAGGATAAGAATCAACCCATAGACTAACGACTTACACCTCTAGTAAGAATGTCTTATTCCACTAAAAAATGATTTACTCCTTTCATTCACTATTCACATTGTACTCTTGGTAGTATCTTAAAAAAAATTATCCTTATTTTTTTTAATAAATCCCATCAAACTTTTGTAACTTAATAAAAACATCGTAGTCTTGACTAGTACTATTAATAAATTGTCATGAGGAACATTTAAAAGAAATCACATATATTCTATCATTTGAAAACCAACAAATTAAGCAAAGTATTAATGCTTATAAATGAAGTATCATCCAATGAGATAAATTTAGTATTTATCTTTGATCTAACCTGACATATCTTCTATATTCATTACTGTTTGCTTCTTTTGCTTATTAACATATAAATTGGAACGAACAAACTTATCCACAAAGTTGAAATCACTTCACATACTTACTTAAAGTTAATTAATAACTGGAAAATTAATATCTATTTCTATTTTTATTCACAGGAAAATGATTAGGAATCACTTTTGAATGAGTTATATAAAATATAGGTTTAATAGCTTCTTTTGTCCCTAGTTGTACTCGGTTGTGTCAATTTGGTCATTGATTTTAAAAAAGTGTTTAGTTGGTCCTTACTTAGTAAATTTTGTGTCAATGTTATCCCTTCCGTTAAAAAACACTAACGGTGTTAATGGATTGATGATATGGCAATATGAATTGGTAACGTGTTAAGCTATGTGCGTGGTGACGTGGTAAGCAATGAGAGGTTGAGATGGATCTTACATATTCGGTTTTAGAATTTGGAAAAAAATTGAGTTAGGGCATGAGGTATCGGTCCTCCTTCTCTGGCGACGCTGATTTCCTGGTCTCGCCGACCAACACCGGAGAATCGTCCCATCGGAATTCCTGCAACCAAATTTTAAGTCAAAATTTACACAAAAAAATATGGACAAAATAGGGAAATTTCATACATTATTGCAGAGCTAACAGATCCAATGTAATATCATTTTGATAAAACCAAAACAAATTAAAAACGGTTACACCCATAAATTACACACTTATCTCATCAGGGAATGGTAAAAAAACTTGATTTTTCACATCAAAAACTTGTTTTGGTGGTAAAGTTACCATAAATGAAAAAAAAAATACAATTTTTTCCCTTGGTTATTGTTTCTCATCATCCACTGAAAATTCCCAGCAACCCAAAACGAAAAACACCAACACATTCCATTCCCAAATACAGAAACCCTAAAATCAAACTCCCAAATTACAAGATCAAAACCCTCAACCTTGGGTCGCTATCCTGTAGAGAATAATAGAACCACAGGAACAACCCCAAATCGCAAACTAGAAATGACCGTATGAATCCTCAAAACCGCGATGCATCCCCACGCAGGCCCTATCGCCGCAGAAACACCAGAGAACGTAGACCACCACACCGCGAAACGCCTGTCCGCTCTTCACGACAACGCCATTAAACAAGGACTCTGGCACCGCAAATACGTCAAGAATCGAGCCATCGCAGAGGCGCTGCTGCTACAAGACTCACTGCGCCGCGAGAAAGGAATTCACATCCTAGCCACCCGAACTCACATCCCCAACGTGCAAAAACTCCCTACCCATTACCAAGAAAGAGAAGAGAAATGAAGCCTTCTCCCCTTGCGGCACGAACCGAGAATAAAAGAAGATGTAGAAATTGAGTGAAGAGAAGATGAAGGTGGGTGCTCGTGCTCCCCTAATCCGCTTCTAGTGAGAGAAGAAGAGTCTCGGGATTGACTTTTGTCCGAGAGAAAGAATGAACAAAGAAAGGAGAAGAAACCAAAACTGGGTTTGGCCGTGAAGGAAGAGAACCCCTAATCAGCCCTAAATCACATTTTCCCCAAATTAAAAAACCCTATCCTAATAAAATACCATATCTTCTATTAGCCAGTTACACGTCAAAAAATAATATATTGACACGTTGCCAATAACTAGTGCCAGATCATCAACTCATTAACTCCGTTTGGTTATACTTAAGGGAAGAGATAAATTAGATGTAAATTTTAATAACTATGGACATATTCTAAACACTTTTAAAAATAGAGACTGAATTGACATTGTCCAACAAAAATAGAACCAAAAAGATATTAAACCTAAAATATACTACATGACTATAAAGAGATAGTCAATTTTCGGAAGAGAGGAAAACTTTTTGATATCTTTATATATGGATTATTGTAATTTTTTTCCCGTCATCTAAAGAACTATTAGATGGAGAGCCGATTTAAATGGCATGAAGATAGATTTTTGTTATTTTTATTTTTCAAAGTTATTTATCAACAGATTTGACATAAATAGAACATATTGCCATCAAATTTAAACCCTTTTATCTATTTAATCGACCAAAAAAAATTATCTTTTTTACATAATCACTAAATTGTATTTTTATGTATAAACTCATAATATTTCTCGATTGAAAGATAAAGACTAGTACTAATATTTATTTAAAAGTTAATATCTTATATCAAATATTCTCTTTTGTATGGACAAACGCTATATCGAACACTCTTTTATCAATATTAATCCAACCGAATAGTTTTTTAGCTTTTTAGGGAAACTTTAAATTATGCTTAATTCCACTAATGTTTGTAAAAGACACATCCAAAATGAAAAGCACTAATGTACAAAAAAATTGAAAAAATAAAGAACCCTAGCAATGATAGGTGATAAGATTGTGAGGAATCTAATACAATAAACTGCGTTAAGCCCAAGTTGATGAGAAGGAGGTGTCAGAAAGCAATTGGCCCAAACAAAACCTCCGAATATTAACGAATGAGAGAGGCCCACGTGTCCCAGACTCAGAATCATGAGAAATGCTGAAAATAATGGGTTCCAGATAAGCCTCTAGCGTTCCGTGCCTATTAATAACCAAAATCCATTCCACAAACGCGCAAGCGAAACGCAACGCAACGCAGTACAACATAACAAACCCCTTTCGGTGGTCGAACACAAATTAGGGTTCTCCCATCCCTAGGGTTTACCTTCCCCTATTCCAAATCATCCTCTTCCACCCCTAAATCCAAACCGTTAAGGACAAAAGGAAGAGAATCATTCGTTGATCTTCGGAAAGAGAGAGCCGCACCTCGACGCGATGACCGGGAAGGCGAAGCCCAAGAAGCACACGGCTAAGGAGATCGCGGCGAAGATCGACGCCGCCACTACCAACCGCGGCGGCGGTAAGGCGGGCCAGGCGGACCGGTCTGGTGTGGAGAAAGGCGGGCACGCGAAATACGAGTGCCCGCTCTGCAAAGTCACGGCGCCTGACGTGAAATCGATGCAGATTCATCACGAGGCGCGTCACCCTAAGATCCCCTTTGAGGAGGACAAGGTCGTCAACCTTCACGCCACAATCGCCAGCGAATCGTCGAAGCAGCGTCCAGGCATTCGCGGAAGCCACAAGAAATGATCTTAATCGGTCATTATCATCGCTTATGTTATAGCCCCTTCACGCTCTGTTTTTTGTTTTTTTTATTTTTCTTTCCTTTTATCTAAGTTAAAGTCTTCTAGGGTGTTGTTCAGTATTGCGGACGTGGGTATGCTTAGTTGTTTTATCGAGGGAGGGACTATGATGCAATATGTATGAATGCGATGATTCTATGTCTGAAGGGACAAAGAAGGGTCTTTTGTAGGAATGAGATTGATTTGTTGTATGGGGGCCCTTCTTTTCAAGGATCGAGTGTATATTGTTCCCTATATTGAAAGTTAAAGTGGACTTATTAATCTAGT